GGTGCTGGCTGCATGTTGCTGTAGAGGGGTGGGTGTGCAGGTCCGAGGTGGGAATGAATGCCTCCTCGCTAGGTGGGGTGACTCAAGGAGTTGCCTTCTGCCTTGCTGAGCCGGCGCTTTCTGGTGCTGCCAGTAGTGAAAAGAGCTTTAGGTGAGGCCGTGAGAGAGGAGCGAGGATGTTCAAAGAGCTGCTGGGCCCTGAAGCACAAGGTGCAGCAGGACGAGCAGGAGACAAAGATGGGGTTTGCTGGGAAGAGGGAGCAGGAGGTGTCCCCAGGTGAGAGCGGCTGCAGTGACCTGCCACACTCCGACTCTTCCGAAGACCTGAGTGGATTTTTCTCCCCGCTGGGTTCAGACCTCGCCGTTCGGGTGCGGGCCGTGCGGGTGTTCTCTCCCACCCACGCAGGGTGAGCAGAAGTTGCCTGCGGAGGAACGCCGCCAGGCTTTGCAGAAGAGATGGCTGGAGCGTCCTGCCGTGCTCAGAGTTTCGCCACGGCTCCGATTCCCCTCCCAAAGGGCTGTGGGATGGGCCGGGGGAGTCTGTTCAGTCTCAAGCGCACCAGAGACTGAGCTTCGTGACAATCTGCCTGGAGCTTCATTGTGCAAAGATTTACTGTTAACTCTGGGTGTTTCAGTGAGTTTCCGTGGAAACTCTTGGTTTATTTTTTGCTTCTGTGGAAGACAAAGAGCTCTGCTGAGGCATTCAGCGACGTTTCGGACGCTTAAGAAGGCTGCAGGTCTTACAGCAGAGGTTTTTGCTGCTCTATCAAGTGTGTGAGACTAGTTCACAGGAGGAGACGGGGAGAGTTTGGATTGCTTTAGAGAGGAGTGCCAAGTTAGCTGAAACGCGGTGAAAACAATTCTATCCTTTCAGCCCGAGGGGTTTAACCGGGAGCCCCTCCACCCCGGGTTTATGTAAAAGACAACGGCGTTCGTTAAGCGGTTGTTAAAATGAGCGAGGGCTCTTCGTCACCCTCCCCGTTGTGCAGCAACTGTGTCGAAGAAGAAGGTGAGCAGCGTGGCGTTTGCTGGCTCCTGGTTTTTCCAAACTGACTGGGAAACGCCCAGTGCTGCTGGACCGAACCTTTGCCAAGCGCGAGGTCCCATGTTTCGGAGCAAGGCGCGCGCAGGGAAGGGGTCGGGGTGGGGACTGAAGCAGTGCTGCTGCCCCGGCAGGGAATACCAGGTCCAGTTTGAATTGGGAGTGTGAGGAATTTCTCTTGAAGGCAAGCTCTGGAGGTTGTCGTAAAGATACGGCTGATGGCGAACATCGTGTCTGCTAGGTGGGCTGGGATCAGGCCCGTTGAGAAGGATGGGAAGGAGATAACGGCGTGAAGGCCGTCCTGGGTAGGGGGGTCAGTAAATCAGCAAGAGCAGCAGCAGTACCGACTGCCGTTGGCCCGTGTGCGTCAAGGGGTTTGGCTGTTGTTCCTCCACGATACGGTGACGTCAGTCTGGGGCTGGCTGGAATGTTGCTGTTGTTTCTGCGGGTGCTGCTCTGAAAACCTGTCGCTTGGAGAGAGGTTTGCAGCCTGGCAGAACATGGCTGCGGAGCTACGGCTTGTCTCGAGAGAAGACAACCGTCTCTTGGTAGGCATCCCGCCAGAAGGCAGTCTGTGGGCGGTCGCCCATCCAGCGCAGCGGGGAGAGGTTGTACACCCAGAAGGAGACGTGTCCCGCCTGACGGGGGGTTTCTTCAGACGTATTTCTAGCTCGGTTCTCCTCGCTGGCCTGCCGCTGCACCCCTGTTTCTCTCGGAGTTTTGTGGTTGGGAATTTGCGGGGACCTAACCCAACTAAGCAGCAGGTCGTCAGAAGACCCTGGCTGACGCCTTCGCGTTGGTGTCTGCTAAGTGCCGGCTGGGGAGGTACCTAGGAGAAAGAGTTATAAGCTGAAGCAGCAGATTAGTGCGCCAGAACCTTTTTTTGGGTGGACATGGAGATGGGGGAAAGATGGACTTCAGTTATACACGTGGGCTGGAAGGCCACCACGGTACTGTGCGAGGGGCGGGGGTTGACAGTGGGAAAGAAGATGGGGTGAGCGTTACCTGCCCAAAACGCTGGATGATGCCTGGTCCAGGTGGAGCTGGGCGGGAGCTTTGGCTCTCCTGGTCAAGCACAAGGAAAGGGTCGAAGGCTTCAAGGTGATGTTAAGCAAGGGGAAACTTAGGACAGGTATCAAGAAAGCTCGTGGACTTGGAGAGTTTAAAGCCTGGCTGCGCCGCAGAGTGTGATCTGTGAGGTTTGTGTCCGAGCGTAGGGGTATCTCATCCTTCTCTGCTTTTAAACTCACCTTTGCAATGGTCAAAAAGGGTTAGTTAGTTAAAAATGGTTTAAAAGGACCCCTCCTTTCCAGGCTTTCCATTTCAATGGAGGAAAACCACCCGCCAGCACCTTCTCTTCATACTCCTCATGTTCCTCCTCACGTCGCCCACAAGGTCTTGTTGTTGCACAGCATAAACCCGGCTCGAAGGGGAGCTTTAGTCTCACATCTGGGCTTTTCGCTGTGCTATTCCTATCAAATAACCAGAATTGCCTGAGATTCAGGCGTAGCCACACCGCCAGGATGACCAGGCTGCAGGTTGTATGCGGAGAGCCCGTCTCAGCAGCCGTTATTTATCTGCCATCCCTTGGTGTTTCTCGCTTGGGGCTAAGCAGAGCGATGCTTTTTTTTTTCTCCTCTTGGGTTTTGCAGCAACACTTTTGTCTTGGAGTACTGCGGAGAAGTGCTGGACCACAAAGAGTTCAAGGCTCGCGTGAAGGAATATGCCCGGAACAAGAACATTCACTATTACTTCATGGCCCTGAAGAATGACGAGGTGAGCGGTGGGGTGGCCGTGCTTGGCTTCGGGGGGGAGGCTGGCTGGGCTGAGCCCTGGTTCCGTGCAGCGCCGGCTCCCCGTGAACCCACTGAGTGACATCCCGAGTCTATTAGAAAGGTTTCCCTCAGGAAAGGAAACGTTGGCTGGCTTTGTCTTGTCGTACCTTACTTTTATTTTTTTTTTTAACCCATTGCTCAGTTTCAGCCTGGTTTAACAGGAGTCTGGGAGCTTGACTCTGTCCCAGTGCCCTTGGAGAGGAGAAATTGTCCTCCCAAGGGAAAGGATGGAGCGTGGCCCGTCCCTTCCACACGAGCAGACCTCTGTGGGAGAGAAACCGTGTCTGTGTCCCAGTCTGGGGAGGTGCTTCGAGCCAAACTCAGCCTTCTCGGAGGCCCAAGTGGACCAGCCTAGAAGATACACCAAGAAACCCCGTCCTTTTTCTTCCCTTGCTCACAGAGCTGCATGAAATCGGGACTTGTAGCTGGGAGGGTCCCGATGTGCAGGATTACTGTCATCGGAATATTTGTATACCAGAATTTCTTAATTATTTATCCTTACTTTGGCTCTGTGGGAGCGTGGAGCTGCGACGCAGCCTTGCTTTCCTTGGGCAGAGAGCGCAGCCTTGCTTTCCTTGGGCAGAGAGCCCTCCCTTGCCGAGAACCAGGTGTATAAAGAGAAGTTGAATACCCTATTCTGCTCGTCTCTTCTGTCGAGGCTTTTTGGGTCTTTACAGTAAAGGAGCTAAAAATACTCAGAGTACTTTTTTTTTTTTTTTTTTTTTTTTTTTCCCCCCAAAGTAAGCAATTTTTGTAGCTGCCGTGGGCTTGTTAGGTGATCACCAGGGGGCACAGAGGAGTCTTTCGTTGTAAAAGGGAGGACACAGCGATCCAGGAGACGGCCTTGCTATTCGAGCACGATGCCTGTGGCAGAGACGTTCGGCCTCCCCGGCCCTCGCGGTCGTTGTGCCACGCAGCAGAGGGTCAGGAGCAGATGTTCAAACCCCGGGATCCCCACCCAGCTGGAGAACTCCGTGTGAAGCTGCAGTGAAAACTAAGAACCGTGTTGCTTAGCGCTCTTGTAGCATTAAAAAGCCCCTTCTCCGAAGCAAATCAAGTCGATAGCTGGAGCGGGAAGGGTGGTGACTTCTCCACGGGTTGTGCTCCGACACGGAGTGTCTGTAGCTTCCCATTTCTGCCTGGTGCAGAGAGAGGGAGGCCGTTTCACTGCGTTTGCTGTTTCTTTTCAGATAATCGACGCTACCCAGAAGGGAAACTGCTCGCGTTTTATGAACCACAGCTGTGAACCAAACTGCGAGACGCAAAAGGTAAAGCGCTGCATCAAAGCTGCTGCCTCCTCGCTCCCGCCGCCTCGCGACCTAGCAAGCCCGGAGCTCTCTGTTTTGGGGCTTTTTTGTGGTTGTTGTAACTCGGTGACATGGAAATGGATGTTTTTGAAGCGGGCGAGTACCGCTGGGACAGTTAACAAATTCTTACATGATCAGTGCTGCTGTTTGAGGGATTAGTCTCGTTCATTTAGAGCAGAACCAGAGTCAAGCCTGGCTTTTGTAATAACTGTCGTCACCTTGGTTTTTTTTTTCCTTGCTGTAGTGGACGGTGAACGGGCAGCTCAGAGTTGGATTTTTCACCACCAAACTAGTCCCGTCAGGCTCCGAGCTGACGTTTGATTACCAGTTCCAGAGATACGGGTACGTTTCGGCGCGCTCCGCTTGAGCTCCCGGCGGTGGGGTTTTGTGAGCGTTGGTGCCGTGAAAAAACTCCCGCTCCCAAACAAACCGCTGCGAAGCCTCGGCTGACGGAGCGGTTGGGAAGGAACTGGCACCCGGCTGCAGAAAAAGCTGCCTGGGTCAAGTTTCTTCCATTTCTAACACAAGAGGTTGGGAGAGGAATTTTGACGTAAATGTCTTTTCCAGTGTCGCTTTATTGCCTTTTTGTTCCACTTTGTACCAGCCCCCCCCCCTTCCCGCCCAGTGGAAGTTTCCCAGATAATTATCTTGGCTGTTTCTTTCCTCTGTCTAATTATTAATTACCCAAGCTCCAGACTTTGCAATACCCTGAAGTAACGCCTCTTCTTCCCCACCCACCCCTGTTTTACGACTTTGCACGTACTTGCAGAGCTGTAAAACCCCGACAGACAGCTCCTTCCCTCTTCCTGGCCGGCTCCAGAGGTGCAGGTGTGCGAGCTGCAGCGTGGGCTTTGGCTCCCTTCCCTAAACCCGAGCTTAATAGTCGTGTATTGCTGCTTGTCCAGGTGTACGGCAAAACATTTCGCTCTCTTTAACGTGATGAGCACAAACCAGCGCCTGGCAGGCTTGAAGCAGCGTGTCAGTGTGAGATTAATGGCAGATCCAGTTTATAATCCCTTTTTTTTAACTGAGTACGGTTGTTTAAGGAGCGCCTCTTCCTTCTCCTTCTGGTTCCAGCCTTACACAACACCGTGGCTCTTTCTGTTCTATGTAAAAGAATCAGAAATGGGTTTCTGGTTGCATTATAGAACTATTTGCGCTCAAGTGGCAGGTGCTCTCGTGTAGTTTGCCTGGTGCAAACCTGCAGGGAGGCAGGCGGGCTTAGCCCCAGCTCTTGCAGCCAGGCCCGTTTGATCTCGAGGAGCGTGGGGGTATCTCTAAAGCTGGGGAATGTCACATACCCGCGGTCTGTACACCTGTAATTTTATTTTTGTCTGTATATGGCTTAGTCAAAACGATCAGAGTTTCATACTATGGCCCTGTTAGGTCCTCTCTGATGAAGAATCGTTTTGCTGTATTGGTATCTCGCGTATTTGAGTGGAGTTTTCCAGCCCTGAGCTCTTGGGCATCCTTCCTGAGCTCAGGTCCAGCTTCGCAGAAGGTCCTTCAGTTGAGCTTCCCTGGTTATACCACGCAGAGCCACGGTCCTCCAGCAGATTACACACATTTAAAAAAACCCCCAAACCAACCATTCTCCCAAGCAATTGTGGCATATCGTTTAAAATTTATGGTATGTCAAGTAGAAAATATAGAGGCTTTATTGCCTGGAGAGAATGTAATTCAAATCTCTTCTGCTCTCCATGGCTGTATCTCCATGCAGAAAACCATCTTCCTCCTGAATCGTGCTGCTTCCACAAATCCTCAGCCCGTTCTTTATCCTGTTTCGAGCTGTAAAATGCAAGCTTTTTTCCTAATAGATACATCACGCTGATGGTATATCCATTGGGAAAATTAGTATATCGATTGCAACGTGTGGTAGGAAGTTAGCAGACCCAACAGCCCCACCTTGTCCTCTCTTGACCTACAAAGAGCCTGGAAGTGGCTTTGGTTTCCAGCTGGGGTGACGTGGGATCGTGGTAGCCATGTAAGAAATGAAGACTTGGTGTGAGTTTTCAGTGCCCAGAAGGGCTTGTCCGTGCAGAGGAGTTCCTCTCCCTTTCTTCTGCGGGTGCTCTTGAGGGGAAGGTGAAATAACTGGCTGTGGACGCAGCTGGTGTGGTGTTAAGCTGCCCTGTTGCTTCTGCCCACCAACAGCAAAGAGGCTCAGAAATGTTTCTGCGGCTCAGCCAACTGCCGGGGTTACCTGGGAGGCGAGAACAGGGTCAGCATCCGAGCCGCCGGCGGGAAGATGAAGAAGGAGCGCTCCCGTAAGAAGGACTCGGTGAGTCTGGCTCTCCCTCGTGCGAGCTTTTGGATCCGTTCCTAAGAGCAGCAGCAGCAGCCAAGGGCTGATCCTGGGCTTGATCCTCTCTGTGGGCTCCCCTCTGTAGTCGTCTTCTGCGATGGATGACTCGTGGTGACCTCGGGGTTCAGGCTTTTCCGTGGGTGTGTCGGTATAATTGTATTTCGCGGGGGCCCTCAATGCTGGCGTTTGCTTGGAGCTTTCGTTAAATCTGCGCTTCCTTTCTCTGGGTTATTTAGCACAAAGTCCCGCCGGAGGGGGACTTTCACAGGTACGATACCTGGGCGTCCATACCGCAGGCTGCTAAAACCCACACCAAATTCCAGGTGGCTTTAAAAATTCGGTTTGTATTGCACGAGCGGTAACCGTCGGTGAAGGACGTTGAAAATGGCTTCACCGTTTCGGGCGTTGCCTGCAGTTTGACGGCTGGACGGGCGCTGATGCTGGCCGTCTCCGCGCTGGGCTGTGAAATCTGAATTCCTTCATTGCTTTGGCCTGGAGGCAAGTCAGCTTCCGGGAGGAACTTGTGTGAACACGTGTAGTATTGGCGCCGGCTTAGTGACAGTTGGGTTTGCCGATGGCCGCGAGTGAAACACGTAACTTCAGTCCGGACTTGGAGCCTTTTTATGGCTTTTCACGCGCGTGATCCTCCTCGATCGCCCATGTTGGATTGCAGGGATGGGTTCACGGGTGTAGGAAACTGGGCGGAGAAGCCTGAGCAGAGCGGGCGGAAGGAGTTTGGTGTGGGTGCAGGCTGCTGCAAGGAGCTGCCCGGGCGCTTTTTGCTTCCCGCAACGTGTAATTGTTCCGTCCTTCGAGACAGAAACCTCTGTTCCCGCAGATGAGACTCGTGACCTGCTCTTTCGGGAGAAGCTACCTTTAAAAACGCCAGCTTCGTTGTCCCCTCCTGTATTGGAGAGCCCGGTGTGCGTGTGCCAGCCGGGCTGCCCTCTGTCCCCAGTATAACCACAACTGGTGGGGTCAGTGCGCTCTCGTACGGGATTTGAGGTCTAAAAAAACCCCGCGCTAGGCCAGATGAAAGAAACCCAACCGCGTTGAGTCAAATAAAAGCCGGGCTTCTTCTCCGTGTGGGCGCGTGGAGAGGCTTCTCCTGCCTCTCCATGCCAAGGGAACGGACTCTCTCTGCCATCACGTCGGGTGGCGTGAGCACGACCTGAGGGTTGTTTTTCTTTGGCCCTGGTAGGTGGACGGGGAGCTGGAAGCGCTGCTGGAGAACGGAGAGGGTCTCTCCGATAAGAACCAAGTTCTCAGCTTATCCCGGCTGATGGTTCGGATCGAAACGCTGGAGCAGAAGCTCACCTGCCTCAAACTCATACAGGTGAGGAGGAGCCGGCTGAAGGGGAGGACGCCGTGTCCTGTTAGAGCAGCGCCCTCGGAGCTGCCGTTCAGAGGAGGAGCAGGGGGAAGGTGGGAGAAGGGTCTCAGCAGCCTCCCAAGGGCGAGCGGAGCGGTTCGGCTTCCCTTACGGCTCGTGTTCAGCCTCCCCCGGCTTTGCTCCCTTCCTGTTTGGTGGAACCTGGCCCGGGTGGCGCTGCAAAATGCCCGTTTCTAGAAGCGAACGAATTCCTTGCCTGTGAGGGTTTAGAGAGCAAGCGGGGAGTTTTGTCAGCTTAAAGTCGTAGCTGTCTTCTCTCCGGGACTGTCCTGCAGCCCTGCCTCCCACCGAGGGGCAGCCGGTTTTCCGCGCAGCCCGTTGTCGTTAAGTTTTGTTCCCCAGCACGAGCTGCCCGCCGGGTAACGGCTCTGACAGCTCTCTGCACGCCTTACTGCTCCAAACCCGGCGGGTACGGCCACCCTT